TTTTTCCAATAAATGGTCCTTTTGTTTCTTTTACTGAGGTTTTCATATTAAATCACAAGCTGTATGTCAGTGAGCTGCATAATCTTTGTATTTTCAATATCATTCATTGCACTTTATAGTTTAAATTTTCTTTACATTTGCAATTCACAATAATTTGAAACTACAATGTTACTGGCAAGGCAATACTTCTCGTAAACTGATTATTATAACTTAATTTCCTGTAACACTTCACAGATGGCCATTCTCAACCAAAACTAAAAGCCATGCAGATAGCCAATAGCAGTAAATATGCCAGAGACAGCCGTTCTTCAAGGAGTTGGCTTTTCAGTTTAAAAAAAAAAGACATGAAAAGGGCTTCTCATAAGCATGTCCTAGTTTTTCTTTTCTATGTGCAAAGCAGGCACAAAATTACATCTGTTATAATTTTCTCAATTTTTATTTAATCCTAAAATGGTGTTTCCCATTGTCTTGGTTTTGCTCAGTATGTGTACTACTCCTTAACAGAAATATTGTATTGCTCTGATAAATGTTTGGTGCAGTTTCTGCTGTGCATGAGGAGTAAATTAACCATATAGTACGCATCTAGAGGTAGGAAAGGTATTTAGAAATGTAAGAAAATTTTAAACTGGTATGAACGAAAAATCAAACTGTAAAAATTGGAAAACATTTAAGAATAGATATTGTGTGGGGAAAAAATCATGTAACTCAGGGACCAAAAATGCTATCTGACAAAATACTTTTTAATCTGGCTACAAATTAAACAAAACCAATGACTGAAATCTGAAGGAGGAAAAAAATATTATGTATGGTTTACCAATGAGGACTGGAGCAGTTAGCTAGAGAAATGGTGAACTTGTTTGCTCTGGAATCCAGAGTGGTGGGGTGTGTTAAGTTGTGCTTCAAACAAATAAAACATTGGGCTAAATGACGAGAAAATGATTAAAAGGCTTTTGTGTTATTGAGATCGTGTCCAATGACCTGCTGATCATTTCTGGCCTTTGAAAGTGAATCAGCAAGGTTAATTTTTGCGTATCCTAGGAACAGAAACTTGTCTAAGTATTCAGTATTCTACACTTCTGTCCAAAGAGTTTAAAAGGACAGGAGACATAGCTCATTCTCATGGATATGTCATGGCCTGCAGATTAAATATCCTCTATTCCAGAATGCCCTTTCATAGAATCATAGAATGCTTAAGGTTGGAAGGGACCTCTAGAGATCATCTAGTCCAACCCCCCTGTGCACACAGGGACACCTAGAGCACGTGGTACAGGGTGGCATCCGGGCAGGTTTTGAAGATCGCCAGAGAAGGAGACTCCACAACGTCTCTGGGCAGCCTCAGTGCTCTGTCACCCTCATTGTTAAGAAATTTTTCCTTCAGTTCCTGTGGAACTTTTGATGCTTCAGTTTCCTTCACCTTTATGCAATAATTTAATCATTTATTATGATCACTTCTTTTCTCTTTATCCAGCCAATTCTCCTTGGACATGTCTATTGAGATGCCATACACTACTGAATGTAAATAGCTGGACACATGAACTTAAAATAAAGGTAACTACAACTGTGCCTCTGCCCTAGCAGTTCTGCTAGGACATATGCTAGGAGGTGGATGTACTAGGTGTGTGTGGTTTGTAGAGAAGGTTCATTCTGAAGACTGGTTGTTCCTGTCTCAGATGAAAACTTTGCTTGTGCCTGAAACTTCAAAATAACTTAAAAACTTGTATTTAAAAATATTCAAGAAAGTGAATGATATTTTAAAGAATATATTACATAAATAGAAACTACATCTTGTAAACTTTGTGTAACCTTTTTAGTAAAAACTTTTGGAATTCATTAGATATGCTTTGTTCTCTGACCTCACAAATCACAAGTTTGCTTTAAAACATGATGTTTGGCACAAGGAATTACCATTTACTGCACGGTTACTGCTAAATAAATATTTAAATGATTGTATATGGTTTTTCTTTTCTAGAGAACAGATTGCAAGGCTGTGATTAAGGCTGTGGAGAACAGCTCCCTCGACGTTAATGGCTTTGCTCTAGAAATCTGGATTTCTGAAGCATTCCTCGAATGTGGGTAGGGAAGCACCCCAACAAAAGGAGCAAGGCAGGGTAATGGTGAGGGCATGGCCCAAGTTCCAAGATGAAAAGCACATCCTATTGTATGAGGCAGTACTGGCAATCATAAAATATATGAGAGAAAAACAGTTTGGTTTTGATGGGTAAAAGATGAACAATTTCACATCATGTACAATATTTACTTCCCTCCCCACCTTCCTTGCTTCCCAAGCTGAGTATTCTCCAAAAATGATGTTTTCATTTTAGTTGCTTAGAATCTTGTGCCCTTTGTCTTATCCTTTTTCTTGTAATAGAGTGAATGTTGAGGTGCATTTTAAATGCTGTATCTAGTCATATTTCTGTTAAAACACCTTTTTTCCTCTGATTGTTGTGCTGCAGTTTGTAGTGGCATTTCTGCAAAATACTGTGTTTGACACAAATGCTGCATGGCAGAGGCTGGGACTAGATAGCTTCAGAGTCATGCAGTCATTATATTAATTTTAAAAAAATAGCATTTTAAGCTATTTTTTAAAGGTAGCTCCAAATAGCTCAAAATGTTATATAGAGAATGTATGAGAGATCAACAAAAAAGGAGGAAAAAAAAAAAGGATAACATCTAAATTTGTGGGGCTATATAACACATACACGTACACCCCAAAATATTTATAGAATCTCTAAGTGTGTTAGTTTATGGGATTTGACCTTCTTAGATGATTTCACATGCTAATGTAGTTCTTACAGTTGCAGTGATTATTTGCAAAGACATTTAAATCTTATCCTTTTCACTAGAAGAGAAATAGATAGCAGTTCTACAGTTTCAGATTCTCTCCTTGCCTGAGAAATAATTTTAAAACTTAAGAGCTTTAAATATGTGATTTCAGGTTATTACCATCTGTATCATTCCTCTGCATTTTTCTGTGACCACAAGAATAAGAGTGGAGCCCCCAGCACTTTTAGCTATTTTCAGAGAAAATGCTGCAGAGGTGACATGTAAAGTTTGGTGTTACCAATTTCAGCTGCTTCTTATCAAAGTATTTTCTTAAATAAGACAAAATGCTGCAGAGGTGACATGTAAGGCTTGGTGTTACCAGTTCTGTTAATTCAGTGCTGAAATTGATTAATTTCAAGGTAATATCACGGTAAAATGACAGAATTGTTTTCTTTGATACTTACGTCTAGTTATGTCCATTATGTTTTTCCTCTTTTAATCAGAGTTGCCTGTTTAAAGGGATTACTTAGTTCAGGGATTATGTTCTGATGCCTAAAATAATATTGATCCCCTGAGATGAGAAAGAAATTTGCATTTTGTTTTTAGACACACAGCTTTCCTTTCTTTTGGAAACCCTTTTGTTCCTTGAACATTTTATTGCTCCACTTTTCAGAGCTTTTATATTTTTTTTAGTATGTACTTTGTGCTCATAGAGAAGGCAATGTGCACTTCTCTGCTTCACATGTCCCTTAGTTCTAGTACCTTTTCGCAAGCTGATGGTGGCAGTGGTGATTATAAAACATACTACTGGCAACTTGTTAACTTAGAGAATTGAATCCAGTGCTGATTGCAAAAGAATGAATTGGATAGGAACAAAAACTCAACAAAATTCCTCCTCTAGGTTTCCATTTGAGAGCAGGTAAAAGACAAGGAGGTTGTGCTTTTCCCGTATTAAGAATAAATTAAATATATTTGCTAAAGCTTTGATATATGGTTATATGCTGCTCTCATAATAAGAAAATCTGTGTATATTTCAAATGAAGTTACATTCATCGACTGCAGTGATGATCTTGCTTCTCCTCAGGCTTGCATGCTTGTATTCCAGCCAGAGCACATGACAGCAGCTGAAGAGGTGCCACTGTCCAACAAAATTGTTATTTGCTTAGATTGCTCCAATTCCATGGCAGGTTCAGCCCTACAGCAAGCAAAGCAGATTGCTTTACACGCTTTGGAACAATTGTATTTAAGATGAAGAGTAAATGTTGTCAAACTTGGCACAAGTGAGTTTCTTTGTTTCTATTTTAAATAACAGCCAACTTTTACTTCCGTATCATGACTGAACTTCAATCTGGAACATCTAGCAATATGGAATTCTAGTTGATATTCTGATATTCTAGTCATAAAATTGAACTTTAATGTCCATATTGTTGTCACAGTCTTAATATTTTAACGCTCTTAGCATCAATCTTTATTCACAGATTTCACAAAATTTTATTCATCTCCAAAGAGCATCTCAGATGATTTGTCACCACTGAAGGAGTTTATCACAGTAAGCAAATTAGTTTGGCCATGTTCTAATGGACACTTCTTTGCAAGGGATACTCGTACTTGTAAAATACTAGTGCAGGTTTTCTTACTCTTTTATTTTTTCTAGGCCAACATCTTGGATTTCTTCTATCATTTAGTCTGTTTGAAATCTGTTTGCCCTAGCAAACAGATCTGGTTTGATTTTAAGTGACTGCTAAATTGGTTATTTTGAAGGTTAGCAGATACCAGTGTTAGAACGTTTTTCAGTGTTTCCCCTCAATTTACCTTTTTGAGTTTCACGCCTCTCCATTGCCTGCTCACAGCAGAAGAAATGTTAGAATTTCCACTGGAAGTCCATAATTTGTAAGTGAAGACTAGCACTTTAGTGGCTAAAGCAGTTTTACTGAAAGAAAAATGCTTTTGACACCAAAATATCAGAAAGAACTCAATACAAAGTAACATAAAGGGGAAAACAACATTAAATATAGATATAAAATACAGGGCTTCATGGAGAAAAGAGAATTTGGAGCCACTGTGGATAGTCCTTTTTTTAAACAGTGGCTTAATATTCAGCAGCAGTCAAAAGGCACACAGGAAGGTCTGCATAAATCTGCTTTGCTCGGGCATCTTGAATGCTGTAAGCTCTTCTCAGAGGAGACTTAGAAAAGGTAGAGAGACAGAAAAGCAAGATGGCTGGAGATGCAGAAGACCTGCTGTGCCAGGAAAGGACTCTTCATAGCTTTTCTATAAGTCTTTATTGCTGTCTTGCTCAGTGACCTGTTTACAGGATAAGCAGAGAGGAAAAGGAGAATAGGGATGGTTATTTACTGTTTCTCACATCATGAGGATCACAGGATGTGCAGCAATATTCATGCATTCAGTAAATAGTGGACTTTCTTGTCACATGATGATGTTGAGTCTAGAATTGTAATCAAGTCCAGAAAGAGAGTTAGAGGCGTTAGAAAACACAGCTGAAGTAGCTCGTAGACATAATAATGTGGATGAAAACAGTTTAAGGACATACAAGATGTCCTAACCTACTAATTGCTGAGAGCTCTGAGAATACTTCCCAAACAATACTTACCATGTTTCTCAAATATTTTGACTAAGCATCCTCTTGCCAAGGCTACAGGAGATACAGGAGATCCTGCCAAGGATGCAGGACTAGATGGACCTTACTCTCTATCTCTAATAATAATAATTATAAAAGAGCAGGAATAGAATAAAATTTAAGAATGAATTAATCATTTGTATTTGGAAAACAGAAGAAAATGTATAATAAAATAAAGATTAAATTATGCATTTTGCTATTTTAGAAAAGGCAATGAAGTCAAACTAAAACTGTTTTTCTTTACTTTTCAGTCTGTTACTGCAACATTGGGAAACACTGATTTATAGAAGGCCCTACGTTACTTTGGTCTGCTTTTTTCTTCTCAAGGGCAGCGTAACATTCTTGTTATATCTGATGGACACATTCAGAATGAGAGTGTGACCTTCCAGATTGTGAAAGATAATGTCCTACATACCAGGTTATTTACGTGTGGGGTTGGGTAAGTACAAAGTTAGCTAGCAAATGCATTGGGTTTAAAATCACTGATAATTGATTTGAAGCAAGGGGTTAATGAGTTGAGAACTGTCAGGTACCAGTGTGTGCTGTATTAAATATGCATGTATGCTCTGATTAAATGCAGAAATGTTTGTAGATTAAGTCAAGTTTGTGTGCAAGTAGTCTTACGTATTCATAACTTTCCTTATGACAACAACTTTACTTTTTAAGGAATATAATTAGAGAGTTTTGAATTTTTGATTTTTGAATTTCATGTTTTGGAATAATGTAATTTCAATAGTATAATTTCAGTATAACATTAAGATAGTTGCAAATACCATTTTATCGTATTTATTGTGACAGAATTATATCTTAAATAGTACTATAATATAAAATTTGATGATTTGATAATTTGATTTTTCATTTGCTTTGTAAGGTAATGTCTTAAAGAAGTGATAGTAGCTTTCTGAAGCACTATACACCTGTGGGCATTCATAAGCCTGTGGTACATGTGTTCCTCCTAGAATGCAGTCCACTTCAAAATGATGCCAAAATAAACCTCTTCTACCCCAAAACAGCCTTTGCCTTTCAGCAGGCAAGACAGGGAGTGACTGTTCCAGACAGCGAACATTTTCCTGAGAAGCCAACTTGGTGCTTACTCCTCTGGAGCGGGCAGCAGAGGGAAGCACAGTTTGTGCTTCACCCTGCACTGCCTGCCCGGAGAGGGGCAGCGGGAGGGGAAATGACGTTTGGGAACATCAGGTGTCAACTCTGGTTATCTGTGTTACAATGACTTCTCAAAGATCAGAGGAACAGGTAAAACCTCACTGAAATTCTGTTTTGTCTGTAATAACAATTCTTTGCGGGAGAATGAAGAATCTTTAAATATAGTGCAAGACTTTCAATTTACTGTGTTGTACAAAGCAGCAAAATCTGGAAAAGGGCTTTTAAGAGGACAGTAAACCTTTTTAAATCCCAGATGATAGATGTTTTTAGAATAAATATAGCTGCATTGCATTTATTTTGCCTTGAGGGATTTTAGTGGGTAGAGTTTCCCAAGCTTTCACTAGGACAGGAGTGTGGCTCTGGCCAGGAGTGATTCTGTTAACTTTTTGAGAAAGATTTGAGGTGTACTGCTTGTTTCTGCTCCACAAAAATTCCCATCTACTTAATTGTTTTCCTTTTAAACCCTCTATAAAACTCTCATTTGCCTTCATACCCACACAATAGCTTGACAGTGGCCTGTTAGTAAGCAAAGCCTTCTGTTCTATCAGGCTAATAAGTGTTATATCAGTTACACCCATATTGTCCAGACAGTAACATTCTCTAGTTGACACTGTACTTAGCTGTGTCCTCACTAAATAGTTATGCTAAAATTAAGGTTAATTGACTGAATATTAGAATCATGCCGATGCAGCCTTATAGGTGTTTGACCCTAATTTAATTTACCTGAGCTGTTCCACTGTGCCACATAAAAACTCTTATGCCAGGTAATTCCCTCAGATGTTTTTAGGAGATCAGTAACAAGCAGCCATTCGTTGGTTCAGTTGCTGTTGTTTGATCTGTATCCTAAAAAGAGGATGGAATTTAGAAAAATAGCAGCACTAATCAAAATAAAGTATTTGGAAATGCTATTGGATGACAAATTTAACTCAGTAATGCATGAAGAAAACTTTTTGTGTTGTTAGTTCCACAGCAAATCGTCACATTCTGAGATCATGGTCCTGGAGCATTTGAATACTTTGACTCAAAATCAAAGTATAACTGGAAGGAAAAGCTATGTTAATAAATCCTGAATATCTTCAATATATAATTGATATCAATATATGAATATATCAATATCTCATACTGAAAATCTTCAACAACACAAAATGGAAATTAAGTTACATGGGATCACGTGGCTTTGATATTGCATTAGCATAACTTAAAAAGATGCATTAGGTAAAAGGTGGAAGATGCTTGTCTACTAAGTTTTCTTTTATTTTTAATGTAAATGCAACTGAAGTGAGAATGGAAAGTATTTAGTCTGAGTATTATTAAGGTCTCAAGTTTGTTCCTTGTTTTCAGCAG